TGGGTTTGGGGTTTAGGGTTTAGGGTTTTTAGGGCTTAGGGTTTAGGGTTTAGGGTTTAGGGTTTAGGGTTTAGGGTTTAGGGTGTAGGGCTTAGGGTTGCCGGTTTAGGGTGTATACAGTGTGCGCGCTGTGGGGGCGCTTTTTGCTTTAGGAAGCGGGGCGCATCCACGCATCGCACGCTTGCGTCAGCATGTAGTCCCGCCTCAACCACCCCAACTAGTCTCGATTAGGGTTCAGGGTTCACCCCCAAAACCCCCTCGACCCTGTGAGGGTCGCTCGAAATTCAAGACCGTCTAACATTTCACGGTTTTAACGCTTTGATGAAACCCCAAACCCTAGACCTAAACCCTGAATCCTAAACCCTACACCCTAAACCGCGGCTTCTACCGGTGCTAAACTGGGTGGGTTCGTAAACGGCTTCCTTCAGGTCCGGTGGATTCTGTTTCCGGCCATCTAGGCTTCCAAGTTTGATGTAGGGGCCTTCATGAAAGAACATGGTGTTGGTGTATATTATACTATACCCATAGGCCCCATAGTAGGTCCTTTTTGGAGTCCCTATTTAGAATCCTATAAGGTAATCCCAAAAAGGAACTTCTTTGGGGCCTATGGGTAATCTTTTGAGCCAAACCCGTGAATTCCGCCAAACCCTAAACAGAAAAACCTAAACTAAACCGCTAGTTTTTGGGCTTAGGCTGGCAACCCTCAATGGGCATTGAAGACTCAAGACATCTACATCTGCGACTCACGAGACTATATCCAGAGATTGCAAGGTTTAAGTGTCTTTTAGGGTGTAGCGTTGGACCGGGCGCTGCAGAATTTGATTACAGATTTTGGATGCAGTGTTCGGGCTGTGATTTGGTTTCGTGCTTCGGGTTGAAGACGGGGACGTGGGCCACGAAGACCATGGAAGCCCAGGGCAAAAGCCCTAAACAGCTCCAACTTGATGAAAGCTCCGGGGCCCGAATTGACGATGCGGAACTCAGGGCTTTCGCCCATCAACCCTAAAACCCCAACCCTAAACCCTCAGTGCTGAGATCCTCATCTCCCACACATAAGTCACATAACCATCCAAAGAGCCGGAGCTCCGAAACCCATCCAATTAGGGTCTAGGGCCGTTTAAGTTTCAGGGTTGACAACCTAAGGTTGGGCACTGCCCCTATACCGTAACAGTCCATAATGGGGCTACTATTCAGGGCCACATTTTTACATATATATATATATATATTCTTTGTGGAGGCCGTCACTGTGACAGCTGGATTCATGGTGGGTTTTGGAAGGGGGGGGTAGCATATATATATATATATATATGCATATATGCATATATATACACACACGTACATGTGGTTTTGTCTCTCTGTCTTCAACTGTTACAGATTCCGGGCAGTATCCCAGTCTAAGGACGCTATAGAGCCCCCCCGTCAACCATTCAAAGACGCAGGGTTCGAACATAGAGTTACGGACCCCAGGGTTCAGGAACTCTATTTTCCCCCTAAACCCTAAAACCCTAAACCCTAAACCCTAAACCCTAAACCCTAAACCCTAAACCCTAAACCCTAAACCAGAGTTCGCCAAACCCAAAGGTTGGAACTCTTGCGCACGCGCAAGCCTTGAAAGCTTCCGACGAGCGCTTCGGGCTGCCTGCACTTGGCTTTGACCGGTCTAGAAGCTGAAGGCACCCTAGGGTTTAGGGGATTAGGGGTTTAGGGTTTAGGGGATTAGGGGTTAGGGGTTTAGGGGTTGAGGGTTTAGGGGTTTAGGGTTTAGGGGTTTAGGGGTTTAGGGTCTAGGGAAGGACACATCTCGGGGCATTCCCGTCATTTGAAGAGTCTCCAGTGACTCAGTGGCGATTTAACGACAGGAGTCCCCCGCGCCTACTAACAACTCACGAAGCCCATTCATATTTCTGAAACATTAACACGAACAATCTATGCACACGAGAGCGATAGAGTCAGAGAGAGAGAGAGAGAGAGAAAAAAAAAAAAGTAAAGTTCAAACGCATGAGTCTAAATACTTCCACTACCACCAAACCCCGCAAAAATTCCGCAGGCGTAAGGCCTAAGTACAGCTCCTTGCCACGCAGGCCCAGACCCTAAACTCCAAACCCGGAACTTCAACCCAAACCTCTAAACCCTAAACCCTAAACCCTAAACCCTAAACCCTAAACCCTAAAGCCCCAAAACTCCAAAGCCCAGGACCTCCGTCAGTGAAGGCCACGGACCGCACTGACTTGGCGGGGCTTTGGGGCGCCGAGGTCGGCCTCTGTCCAAAGCAAGGGTTTAGGGTTCTGGGTTTAAGCTTCGAAACTTAGGGTTTAGGGTTTAGGGTTTAAGATTTGAAATTTAGGGTTTCGGGTTCTGGGTTTAAGCTTCGAAAATTAGGGTCTAGAGTTCTGGGTTTAAGGTTTGAAATGTAGGGCTTAGGGTTTAAGGTTCTGGGGGACCTTCGAGGAGCGATTTTAGGGCGTAGGGTTTGGGTAGAGGGTATAGAGTTTAGAGTACAGGGTTTAGAGTGTGGGGTTTGGGCCCTTGTACCCCTAAGATTTGAGGTTTGCGGTTTGCGGGTTTGGGGTTTGGGGTTGGGGGTTTAGGAAGCGCGGAAGTGTTACCACGGTTTAGGGTTTAGGGTTTTTTTTCTTTTTAAAGTGCAGTAGCCCTTTCTCCCGCGGCGAATGAGCCCACCTTCTTCAGGTGTGCACTGTCAAAACAGACCCTCTTGTGCATTCAGCTGCCTTCATTAGCAGGAACGTCCACACTCTCAGGCCTGTCACTGTGCTCCTCTTCACTCTCGTCACCAACTTCACCATCAGCATCACCAGCTTCAACTGCAAAGGCTCCTCCTCCTCCAGCTGACTCAATCTCATCACCTCTTCCAACAAGATCATCCCTGCTACGGCTGCGCTCCCGTTCAGACCCAACACCACGAGACCCCGAAGTCGCCGGCAAAGAGTTATTCTGTAGACGCGGAGGAGGGCGAAGGTGTAGAAGACGGCGTCTGCTAGCCAGCCCAAACTGCATTCGATGCCGGTGCGGTCGTTCAGGGAAGAGGTGGGGAGGAATAGCTTGCGACGGTTCTTCTTCAAATGCCTGCACCAAGTACAGCTCAGCAGAAGAGGACGGTGTACCGGCAGTCGACGGCCAAAGAGCATGTACATGTTGTTGCCAAAGCCGCCTCCTCATCCCAGCTAAGTCGATCGGTCGGCGACCAGGTAGAGCACCACGTATTTGCTGTGCATTGGGCATGTCATCTCCGATGAGGATTGCTGCCATGTCAGCAACATTGTTGGGCGTATTGTGGGCATGTCCTGTTTAGGGTTTAGGGTTTAGGGTTTAGGGTTTAGGGTTTAGGGTTTAGGGTTTCGGGTTTAGGGTTTAGGGTTTAGGGTCTACTACTACTACTACTACTACTACTACTACTACTACTGCTGCTATACAGCATCACAATATAGTGCTTCTGATGCAACGGATCCTTTGCTGTTACGACGTCTGTTGGCAGTGCTCCAGGTCACAAGAAGGCCCTTGATGATACGGTTGAATACCACTGTGTGCAACAAATGCGGATACCCGTGGCACCTGGTATGAAGGGGGCCGTAAGAATCAGAATCGGACTTGTGGGCTTTGTTATGCTCTGCCAAGCTACCAAGGGACGGTGGTAGAAACCAACCTGAATATGGCACCCCTTGCCTTACAGGGGATGGCAAAAGGAATCCTAAACGTTGGGGCTCTTAACGAAAGAGGGAAACCTAAAAATCACGCTTTACCCAAAACCCTTCACCCCTAAACCCCATTGAGGGGCTTCGGCTTTGGGGTTTTGGTTTGGGGTTCGGGGCTGTGAGATTGTGGTGATGATTCGCCATGCTTTGAATCATTCTGTTCCCATTAAGCAAGGACGCCGTGAAGCAACAAGCACGGGATTGCGGTGCGAAAATCTCAGCAGTATACTTCAGGAAGTATAATATAACCCTAAAGCCTGAACCGCTCAGGACCGAAAGTTCGGGCTTGCTGGTTCAGCAGTCAATTGTAAGCTTAAAGGAAAGGGCCAAACAACGAAAACTGCAGCTAAACACCGAAATAGAGCGATCCCTGAAAGGGCTCATCTTCAAAATCCCTACACAAATCCCTTAAACTCCAACCGTTAAACCCTAAAAAGGCCTTGGAGGTTCATGGGTAGTTATAAGGCTTATAAGTAGGGTAACTATGGTCATAACCCATATTAGGGGACTTATAACTCCATTTATAACTACCCATGAACCTCCAAATAAACCCTAAACCCTAAACCCTAAACCCCATAGAACCCTTTAAAGAACATTTAAAGGAACCTTACTTTCGGGGTTTAGATTCGGTGTTTCGGGTTCAGCGTTTCAGCCGCGAAGCCGCGAAGCACGGC